GGTGGAAAACCATTTTTATGCAGGACTATATGGAGGATGGTGGAGTTCCAACAGCATTTTCAGCTTTTACTCTCTAAGAATAACCACGGCCTGTTTTTATATCTCCATGCAACAGAATTCTTTTAGGATAGCATTTACTAAGCATATACAACTATAGACTTCCTGAGACAGCTGAAAATACCTGCGTAGACAGATCTTGAATGTTACAGGAGCCCCCAGGTTACCGAATGTTTGCATACTTGCAATAAAGCACCTCTGAGAACAGCAGCAGAGATCAATGGGTGGGAAAATGACTCAGTGAACATCTGTGTCAGCCACTTTGAAATGTATAGTACAGAGGGAATTATCGATAAGGTCAGAGTCTTCATGAGAAAGCAACTCTGTTTGCAACTCTCAAGCAAGAAATGAAATAGCCCGGAATGCAGGTTGACAGATACGGTGCAGAGTGAGGCCCCCGAGGAGCTTGCACCGACAACAGGAAACCTTTGGTTTGAATTGTCTGAGGGTGCTAAAAGGTCAAAAACATTCAAATGCTGAATGCAGTGGGTAGGAGAATCTGGAACCAAGAGACACGTGAACCAGTAGAAAGCCAAGTGATACCCTTGTGTTATAAACGTGCATGTATGCTGCTAACTGGCCTTTTTTATGCATATTTGGCACACAACATATCTTCAGTTTATCCRTGTTAACATAAATACAAATGCGCTTGGGGAACAGATGAAAATATATTTGAAAAGAACTGTAATTATATAAGTGAACATCAATGAGTGTTCGTTAAGCAGTTATTAAAAAAAAAAAAAAGTGGCATGCGAATGACCAAATGAAACAAATGGCAAATGACAGAAGGAAGAGACCACAGAAAAGGCGTAGGTGTTCYGTTTCCTGATCTGCCACTGTACTACTTGGTGATCCTAGGAAATCATTAAATTTGTCTATGCCTCTTCCCACCACTTCCTGTCTTATTACTTAGGGCTGCAGAGGATTCTCCTGCCATGTGGCTTGTGCACTATGTTGTAGTATTATCTGATCATAGGCAGAAAAAGAAGGCAGGAATGACACTGAACAAGAAATCTTTGACCTTTTCCATCAAATTGTTCTTTAATTAAATTCATACTCTCATCACTCCCTAATTTTAATTTCTGAGCCGTGAAGAATGTAGTTGGTCTCGAAATGTTTTCCTTTTGCCTTTAGGAATGTCAGTGCCAGTGAATGTCTGGAATCTATTTAGCCACCTACACCTGTTTCAGAGCACAACCCACAGCTGCAAAATATGCAGGAGCATGGAGCGTGTGCTAATGAGTTGCAGTATTGATTTCCAGCAGTATTTTAATGCTAGTTCTCTTGGAAAAAAAAAAAAAAAAAAAAAAGAACAATAGAACTGGGCTCAGAAATTCTCACTGCATGTTGTGTATGGTAATAGATGGTCCATGTTCAATGGAGTACTTTAATGTTTGATACAGAATCTAAAATGTGTGGTGTTCTGGCACAGAGAACAAGGGTGAAGGACCCATGCTGATTTTGTTCTTGCTGTCAGCACATCTGGAAAGCATTCAGCACAAATAGTGTTTTGTTACCGACGGGGCCTTTCTGGTGTGGATTGACTTGCCCTCCAGTGAGAGTCCCTGGTTTCTGCTTCTCAATGAATTGCCTTCCAAGACAGTTACCATATGATGCAGGATTGAGGCTTGCCATCCTTCCACCTCAGCTTCAAGCAGGAATATGCAGTTACAACTCAAGTATGACATATACATGCAATTAATTGAAGATACTGGAAACTCTTGATTGCCCAATCCCAACGAACTATTCAGCTCTGCAGCATGTTGCACTAACAGGATCTGTAACCCCACTGTTCTCTCRGTGCTTACCAAAAAAGCTCAGGGTGAGAGCAAAGTTGCTGCTGCTCGCGCCTGTCAGAAGGGGAGCTTGGAAGACTGATGGAGGTCGTGCTTCTCACCTCCTTCACAGCCTGCTGGTTCCCATTTCTGGTTTCCTGTCGGATTTGTCAGTCCTCATACTCTTGTAGCTACTGCCGTTGTCTGCAAATATGTTTGGTCTGAAGACCATTATTTGCACTGATTAACTAGACCTTTGCCTTAGCCTGAGAAAACACCTTCTACTCAGGATGCTCTTGATACCCCTTGAATAATGGCAGCTGGTGCAGAAGCCTGGTTCACACAGAGAACCACTGGGAACACCCAGCTCTGAATAATTATTTGTAATAACAGTTTTATTTTTGCAATAGTGTGCAGCAAGAAAAAAAGAAAGAACAACAGCAAAAAAGAAGATTGGAAAAGGAAATGAAAGTTTTARATTCAGAAGCTGAGTACAATTCTTTGTGCAGACTTTGCTACAGTCTAAGCCCTGCCCTCCTCATGATCACTCAAACCATCTGAGAAGCTTCTGGTGGTTTGGGGGGTTAAACTCTCCAGGATTAGGAGCAACAGTCTCAGTCAAGGGCCCCCACCTTTGGAATTAGTTTTCCTTGGTCCTCTGCCAATGTCCAGCTCTAGTAAGCTTCAGAGCACGTGGTGAAACATTTGTATTTGGGTTAGCTTTTCTCTATTTTTAGTTGTTTCAGCCTGGTTTTGATTTTTAGTTTACAGATCTGGAAATGGTAAATTTGCCTGATTGGTTATTTTCTAGTAGTGTTCTTTAGTATTGCCCACCATGGCAAGGTTTCTTCAGTACTTTTCTGTGTGCTACAGCACCTGATTTTTTTTTTTTTCACTTTTATCTTGCCATTTTCCAGCCTGTGCTACTGGAGGTACTTYGACCCACACCATCACTGCACCAGAGCACCTAATTTTGTTCCTTGTGCGCTTTGTTGGCCCTGCTGTACGTCCAAGGAAATGGTGCCTGCTCAGGCTGCCTGCCACGGGGGTAGCCTCTAATCTTGGCGCTTGCTACGGGCTGCTCTACAGCAAACTCCACCTTTGTACATGTTCTGCAACCATCAGGGCTGTGCAAACAGATTCCTCCAAAGAGCATGTTTGTAGTTAGAGCTGCTTTTTGCTAATGGGGCTAAAGCCCTGTGAGTACACAAAATGGCCAAAACCCCATTCTTCCACCCCAACATTGTAGACTATGTTTCAATGTTTAAAAATAGATAATTTGTTAGTAATTTAAATTACTTGATTATATCCACTAATATTTGGAGTATGATTGTGTTCTTATTTACATCAATTTTTAACATTGGGCCTGATGGTTTTAGTAGAATATTCCATATTTATACTAGTCTAAGATGATAGTATTACCTGACATGCTTTAAGAATAATACTGAAGACTCGTTAGAGATGTGTATTTTTAAAATACAACTCAGATTTGTCACAAGGACTTTTGCTTCTTTTGCAAGATTAGCTCTTGCCCTTTGTCCAAGTGTTTGGTTGCAGTGAGCTCTGCTCAGGATCCTACAGTATGAATCCTGCTGGGGAGCAACGGGAGCCAAGGCCAAGCACGGATGGACACCAGGGGTACCCGCTAGTCACCCGCTTAGCAAAACGCACTGGGATGGAGTTGGTTTTGGTGTAAAATAGATGCTCCTGTGGGTCCAGCCCAGCATCTCCGTGGAGCAGAGAGCGGCCGTCAGAGAGGGTGCCTGGGGCYGTGTGTGTGTGGGACCTGCAGGCCCCGTGGGGGCTGGCGTTGGGCTTCCAGAGCAGCTGCTGCTGGGACAATGTGCTGTTATATTTAGCCGAGCCAACCGGTCACCTGGCGGTGTCCTGATCTACAAATGATCCGGAYGCCCCTCACCATTCATTTGTGCAAGTGGAGACGGGGGACAAGTTGGCTCAGCTCAGGCACCACTAAGAAGAGATGTCTTATTTTGGTATCAAACCCTCCTAATGAGATTGCTTTTTTTTTTTTTTTTTCCCCTTCTTCCCTACCATGTATAACTTCAGTCCGAGAAGGAAGCTAATGTAGGGAATAAAATAATCCCCTATGCAGTCACGACTGATTTAACAGTTCACACATGATTTTTTTTTTTTTCTCTTTCTTCTCCATTCTTTCCCTAACAAGCCCGAGAGCCGGTGGCCGGCGCTGCCTTAGCTTCCCTGCCTGCCTTTGCTCTTGTTTTGCTGCTCGCCGGGCTCTCCCTGTGCAGTGCTGCGTGGCGCTGGCAGCCTGAGCGAGAGGGAGCTCCAGCCACACGCATCCACCCAGACCGCGGGGAGCACAGTCACGGCGAGGAGCCCGCACTGGCAAGCGCGGGGAGCGCGGCGGGGACGCGAGGGAGGAACAGAAAAAAAAAATAAAAATAAAAAGCCACAGTCGGGTAAATGCTCGTGCCTCCTCCTCGCCACCAGCACCTTGCACAGGTCTGAAATGGCTTGTTTTGCTTTGCTGTATTGCGCTTGCCTGGGATGTGCGGAGGGGAGAGGGGGAGGGGAGGAAGGGGGAGGTTTAACTTTTACTTGACATTACCGGGTTATTGTCACTCGGGCTGCGTTAAATCCCGGCGATTTCCCCTCGCCGCCGCCCCCCTCGCCGCGCTCGCCTCCCTCCAGCCAACTTTGTTCCAAGGGGCCGCGGCCAGAAGGGCCGGTCCGGGCCTGGGACAGAGATAGCGCAAAGTCAATAACCACCCCAGCTGGGCCGGGGCCGTCACCGGCCTCCAGCCTCCGGCCTCCGGGCACCGGCCTCCGGGCACCGGCCTCCGGGCTCCAGGCTCCGGGCGGGCGAGCGGCTGCCCAGGGGCGCCTCAAGGCCACGGCGCCCAGGGCGCGCGCGCGCTCCCACCCGCGCGCCTCACACCCGCACTCACGCGCGCACTCACACCCGCACTCACGCGCTCGCTCACTCACTCACTCGCTCACTCACACCCGCTGGATACCAAAGTGTGGAGCAGCCAGAGCGGGAATTGCAGCCGCCGGATCCGTGCGGCAGCGGCGGCCGGAGCCACCATGCGAGTCACGGCCTCCTGAGGAGGGAAAGGAAGGAAGAGGGGAAAAAAAAAAGGAAAGAAAGAAACAGGGAAAAAAAAGAGAGAGAGAGAGAGAGAGAGAGAGAAAGAATCCAGGCGGGCGCTAGCGGAAAGTGTTCGCCTGCTTTTGTCTCGCCGCACAGTGAGCTGGAAGATGGAGATGGATGTTCAGGGAGTTTCTCCGTGCGCGGAGCCCATCCCCCCGGCGCCGGGCTCCGCCGCGTGCCCGCACCAGCGCCCGCCGCCGCGCGATGGGCAGCCCGCCGAGCCGGCGCCCTCGGCGGCCGAGGGCGGCCACGCGGAGCGGCGGCAGAGCAGCGACAAGGAGGACAAGAAGGTAGGTGCGAGCCGCGCCGCTCCGCGGGCGCTGGGGGCGCCGGGGCCGCCCACGCGCGGGGGGTTGCGCGAGGACACGGCGGGGCCGCCACCGGAGTTTCCCCCGCCCGGGGGTCGCGGCGGCGGCGGCTGCTGCTGGGGCTGCTGCTGTGTCATCCTCCATCGCGGCCGGGCCGGGCCGGGCCGGCGGAGCGACACGCGCGGCGCGAACGGGTCGCGTGGCCGCGAGCCCCGCGCGTGCGGCGGCCGCTTTTGTCCTCGTGGGCGCGCGCGCGGGGGCCGCCGACGTGGGCCGGGGCTGTCGCGCCAGGCGGGCGCTGCGGGCGGCGGCGGGGCGTGCGGCACGCCGAAGATAAAATAGGAATGTTTGGCTGAGACCCGCATCATGCCCGGAGCGGTGCCCCGCGGCTGACTGTAAATATCCCCGCTGCAAATGAAAAAAAGAAATGTTGCAATGCGCTGGATTCGGGCCACGTTTCATAAACTAGTTTTACTACAGTTTGGTTTTCTGCTGCGAACGCGCAGGGAGCGGGGACACAAGGAAGGAATCCAAACGGGCAGCGCAATAAATTAATGTCACAACTCTGTCCCCCGCCCGGGGCTCGTCGTGAGAAATGCAGGGGTCTCTGTGGAAAAATGCACCCCAGCACTTCGTAATTTTACCCCAAATACTTTTGGGTTTGTTCCTSGTTGGTAAAATCCCTCGTACTCTTYTAGTAAGGGGCGGCATGAAAGTCTGATCCTTTGAGCGGGGCCTGTACAGCTTAATAAGGTGGATAAAGGATTTTTATTTTTTAAAATAATAGCGGGTGCTACATGCATTAACATATGCATTATAATCGATACGGACAGGATTGCAGCTCCCTGGAGCTGATGAATATTTAATGCTGTCGTGACTGCATTTTGCTGCGCGGAGGTGAATGATTCGCGTGCGTGTGTCCGTGTGCGTGTCCGTGGTTTTTCTCCAGGCCTCTTTACAGCATATCACTTAATGGAACTTAAAAGGCGTTCTTGCACAATAATTAAAATGGAGAGTCAAGGTTGCCATTTACATAGAGAGTTGGCTCTGCCAGTGCCTGGAGCATTTAAAAACCCTGCCATCAGCACAAATTTGTGCTCAATAGCTACTTTCTGATCTGCCACACACTCTGTCTAATGTTTTACCAATGGTGGACACAAGGCGGGCAAACAGCAAGGACTGAAGGTGAATGAGTGCTAGAGAAGGCTCAATTATCTGTACTATAACTAATTAATATGTTTAGATAATCCAGGATTGCACCACTGTTTTGTTCCGTGTGTGTCAGCAATTTAGGGATGGAAAAACAAAGTGCTATTTTTTTTTCCAGTTGTAGGTGTACAAAACTAGTGATATATATATATATATTTAAATACAGTACCAGCTTCTCCAGTCTTGCCATGCTCAAAGTATTTGCAATGACTTTAGCTTATATTCTGGGGCAATGCTTGATATTTTGAACCTCTCTAATCATATGTAYGCTTTCTGGATGCTATGCTAGGGCAATTCATACTTCATATAAGTGCAAAAGTATTTTAGATATCCAGTAAGAGAGTGGCACTAGAAATATATCGAGAAGGGGAAAACCCATTGAAGTGACTGTACAAGGCAACACAATTCTGAAAAAAAAAAATCCAACCACAGAACAAAACCAAAGTATTGCTGGAAACATCATCTAAGAACTTTTTAAATGGATTGAAATAACAAAACTATTGTTTATTTGACCSCTAACTAAAAGTCAAAGGCACACTGATATATTTTAGAACTGAAGTGATCTACATGGAATTTGTAAAGAATATTAGAACTCAATTTCCTGATGTTTACATTTACTGGTATGTGAATATTCAGGTTTTAGGGTATCTCGTGATTCCCCTGTCAGGACTTGCTGTTTGTGATCGTTCTTGAATTATAAAGACCCTTATATGTATCATTGAGCTCCATTCACATGGATGGTAAAAAGAGTTTTGCGCTTGCCTAAATATAACCAAGTCAAATTCACACTGTGGTAAAGCTACTTTTTGTCATAATCTCCAAAATGACCATTGCAACATTAATTAAAGAAAGTATTTTCTTAGCTCTGTAGAATTTCAGTAGAAGGTTGCACTGTGGTGTCATTTTGTATGGATAATTTTTTTTTTCCTGGAATATATTGGTTCTTTAGCTCTTTAGCGCTTGTTTTTGACCCAGGAAAATTCTGAAACACGTATGTAACTTGAAATACCCCTCACTACCTTCAGCAGGGATGCACAYTTGCTTAAAGCTGAGCCTATGCGGAAGCACTTTTGGCACTGAGACCTAGATACCTCCCACACACCCCTGAGCACTGGGTTTCCCACCAATGAATGAGTAGGAAAATGAGGAAGACTAATTTTGTAATTTCTTAAATATACAGTTCTAGGTGCTTTAAAACATAGTTACCGTTTATGTGGGGAAAAAAATAAACAGCCGTGGTAGCAGAATGTGAGATTTTAAAGATAACTGATTCTGTACGGATCTCCTTTATGTTCTGAAAGCAGGACACCTCAGAAGATGTTTGTCAACACTCCTACGGCCTGTTCTGTTATTTTAGGCATGAGCACGTGGGTCTAGCCCTATATTCAGCGGCGCGTTGACGTTCCCCGGGGTGGCGGAGCGGGTGCGTGGGAGCGACCGTGCGGTGCGTGCTTTTATTTTCCAGACAGTGCAGCCCCTCCRCCCTCCAGAATCTGGTCCTGCATCCAGAGTTAGTCATGCAACTTTGTACCCTCTGCCCAAAGAAAGATCATTTTATTTTGTTTTCTACTGAGGGAAGTCTCTATGTACCTGAGGTTTTCCAAGCCTGCACGACTGATTTAGGAGCACGCTCAGCTCTCACTTTATACCTACATTCCAGATAGGAGAACCCCTGTGAAACAGCTCCAAGGTGAAGAACSCTCTGCATATTTACATGGAAATGAGCACACCAAGGTTACAGCAACAGCAAGCCTGTCTGGGCTGGGTACACGGTATTCAAGTGCAAAAGCCAGTTTTGGGTGTTTGATATAAGAGGTCTGAAGTGTTTTATGGGCTTATTTGGATGTCATTTCCTGGAATGCTCTTCTGTCATATTGCTRTGTGAGAGTGGTACCCAGGTGTGCAGGCTCTCAGAGGCGAAAACCTGAGTGCGTTGGGGGAAGGCACTTGGTATTGACTGGGGAATTCTGTTCTGCTCTACATGTGATCTGCATCAAAGCTGATTGACAGAATCCAAAAGCCTTCTGCTAGTACATTTGTGCTATTGCTGCCAGCTGTAAGGGGATGGGTCACRCGTCCCCCATGAGGAGTAGGTGAGGAAGAGGGGAAGCATCTTCAGGGGATTATTTTTTATTTTTTTTGTAATTATTTCTTTTATGTGTTTCATTTGGCCTTGAAAAATGTTGCTCTGTGTTTATGTTTAGAGAAGACATAGTCTAGGAAATGCAATTTATGCTTTGAGGAGAGGGTGGGAACTTCCATTTCAGGGAGAGGTCATTCCCAAGTCAGCTCAGGTGGCCTTACCTTCCTGTAGGCTGTTCCACGGTGCATGGGAGAGCATTTCTCAAGCACTCCTCATCCTGGAGATTTAGATTGTTTTTTTCAGATAGCCTGGACCCAGCCCATTGAGCACCGTGAAACTAAGAGCCAAGAGCCGAACGTGAAACCAGCAAGGGATAAGGGCAGCTGGGACATAGGACTGCGGCAGGCAGCGCTGCCCGGTGCTGGTGGCGGTAGCTGCTCCTGGTGAGGAGGTGAAGCGGGGCAGTGTGCGAGTTCCCCGGGCTGGAGGCTGCCGAGGTGTGTGCCAGCCTGAGTGCCATGGCCAGGCCGCTGCCTGGTGCCCCTCGGCCACCCCGCGGTGGCAGGAGGTTTGACTTGTGCCTGTGGCTATGCCGAGTGTCACACAAATGCCAGTGCATCTTGAAAGCGAGGGTGGAGATGATGAATAATGTCTATCTAACTCAYTGCTCGGAACCTTTCAGAAATGCTGCCTCAGCCCAGCAGCATCACTCCGTCTTCTCCGGGTCCAGTTTTACCCATCTATTTAAAGCCTCACTTTCCTGTGCCRTGGGCCATCTTGATCTTGGTATTGATCTGCAGGGTTCTGTGTCTTGCTGAGGACAAGGTCTGAGGCAAACTTGTCTCAGCAGTGTTTGTCCCGAGCTCCCAGTTGGCTGCGTGGTGGGTCTGTCCCCCTGCCGTGGGCCCCGGCTCTCATTCCAAAGTTGTTCCCACAGCAGCTGCCAGGTGCCTGACACGGAACGGTTCGGTCCTGTGTGTTATTTGCCCTTGCAGGCCACAARCTGGGCTGTGAATGTGCCTTGGTGAGCTGATCCCAGGGGCTGCCTGCTCTAAGAATTAAAATATATGGTTTGGGACTTGAAAAAAAAAAGAGGAAATTCACTGTGGACTTGGAGCCTTGCTTTTCTGGCAGGTCTTCTTTTGCATTTCCGTGTATTTGATGTGCTCTGCCACTCACTTTGCTTGCCTTCTAGTGAGAGAATCCTTAGATGAACCTAGGATTGTGCCCTTACTACAAAAATAACTGGAGGAGAAGAGATGGGAAAAAGAGAGAGAAAATGAAAGACAGAGAGAAAGAAATTGTTAGCATCTCAGCTGCAGGCAAGACTAATAAACTCACATTTTATTAGACATCAGAGAATCCACAAGGGTAAGAGCTATTGGAAATTAAGCCTCATAATTTTTCTAGCTGCAGAATTCCTTTTTATCTCAGATACTGAAGATTTCTTTCACTGACATGTGAAATGATGTTACCTTCAGTAGAATAAATATGCATTTAAAAGTCTTCGAGTGGTGTGTTTAGAATTCAGGACTGAGAGAATGACAYCCAGTACTGTTTTTATGTTAGCGTTCAAGCAGAAGTTAGCAGTTAAAAAGAACAGGAATTGACTTCTGGGCTTTACCAATTTGGATAAAAAGCCAACATACATGGTAGACTGTTTCTTTAAAGTTTTATCCAATATTACGAC